TTGTTGTTCTGTTTTCAGAATTTCAACCATAACATACATGAGAGAATTTGTAATGTGATGGGTAAAAATGCTTTCCCAGGAAATCCCATTTCTGTGTGAAAGTTTGAAGTTATCAGTGTTCTAAACTTCCCCATCCCTTTGCTATTTGGATTCCTCTGTGTCATTTTAATAAGGCCTGCAAGGGGAGGTTTTTAAAGTAATGTCTGAGACTGTGTCTTTGTATGATTTCCATTTGTTTGTTTGTTGTGGGTTTTTTTTTTTCTCTACTGATTGTAAGAGAGATAGTAGAATCACAAATAATGATTTAGATTTAAATGTCATTGTTCTAGTTTTACAAGTTTTTAGAGTACATATGAGTGCACTGAACAGCACCATAACTCATCTGAAAATGGAATACCAATGAGCTCAAATATTGTTCTGATTTCAAATACTTTTTTAATATCTTTTGCTGTAATTCTGCCCTGGTGATATAAATAGTTGGCTTTGGTATATTTTTCAGGTATTCTGTTTCTTGCAATTAAGACCATTCTTCTTACTTTGGATCTTTCAGATTTTAAACCTCAATATCAAACTCTTTAAGACAAGCATTTGTTCTGTCAGTCTTCTCTAAAATGTATTTGAAATGCATACTGGATTTAGAACAGTTGTCATGAGAACTTGCACACACTGGTGATTTCTAAGGTCATGAAAACACTTCTTTCCAACAAAAATATTGGATTCAGACTGTATGCCTCATTGATACCAAAACTGTGTTCACTTACTGTTTCCCTCTGATATTTACGTATTCATTTATCAGAAACTTTCAGTTACCTTGCACTTCACTGATACAAAAAATCCGTTATCAAATATGCAGTGAGATCACTTTATTTTCTGTCTGAACTGTAGTATATAAGGACGGGAGCTGGTCTGAGCATGTGAGCTCATGTTTAAAGCTCTAGAAATATCTTTGTAGCTGAAGACGTGGGAGAGGAAAGTTGCATCTTTCTGTACATTTGCACATACTAATTTAGCAAATGGGCTCCCGTATCATTCACTGACTAGTGTGGTCATCTTTCATTTCATAAATTACTATGCAGTTTTGTTCACTGTGAGTATAATCTGTATTTAGTGATCGCAAGACGCTTAATGCCACTGATTTCTGTTCCATCCAAGCTGACAGAAGAAGTTATTTGATAATGCACATATTGGTATCTTTAATTGCAAAAATGTAAATTTGAAACTTGTATAATGTTCTTGTGCTTTTGAAATAAAATATCTTGTATATGTATATTTAAAAAAAAATGAAATAAAGTAACTTCTCATAGATTATTCAGTTTTTATTTGGAGGCACTTTGAAACTTCACAGTTCATTTTACAAGAGTATTATAGCTGAGTCTGTCAGTATGGAAAAGGGGAAGTGTTAGTAAATGGTTGGTAAACAATACCAGCTATCCGTGTAGTGCGTATCATCAGTTAGTAAAGGTGGCATGCTTTTTCTTATTTCAAGGAACATTCCATTTGAAACTTGTCCTAGTATTTTACAGATGCAAATTTCCTGCAGTATCTACCTCGGTTTGTAAAAGAAGTCTTGAGTACAAAATTTAATATTTAGATTTGTTAGAATCACTCAACTAAATTGATTAGTTGAGTGATTCTGGTTTTGTAGCTTCTCAAAGAACAGGCTGTACTGTCTGTCACTTAACCCCTAGAAAGGGAAAGCTTGTGGTGTTGGTCTGAAGTGCCATGATACATATTTTTTTTAAAAAAATAAATTATTACAAAGCTAAGCAAAGAGCCAAGAAATCTTTTACATGGAAACGGCCAGTACTTCTTGACCCTTTTTATGTTACAAGCTGTTGGCTGTCCTCGCTTTCTTGCTGCTTTGTTGTAGTTTTGGGCACCATTAAGCTCACAGAGCTTGGGTGTTAATGGTGTTTGTCTCTATGCTTACTCTTAAGAAGCAATTCCTCAGAATGTAAAAGGTAAAGATAGATAGATTAAAGTCTACTAGTAAAAATGTTCTGAAGAACATTAGAACAAGATGTCCATTCGTTAGAGGAGAAAAAAAGGAGAAAAGCCACAGCACCATTTCTTGCATAGTAAGAATTTCAAGGTGCAAAGTACAAATGTACAAAATCATATAGAGGAGGATTTTGGACATCATGTGTTGCTTTATGCCTGAAATCCACCTTATTTCCTAGACAATATCCTTGAATAATTTCCTTTGTAAACTAGTTAGATTCATAGAACATCTGAGCTTTTTACTTAGATTCTTTTAACCTGTTACTTGACAAGATCTTCAAAGATATTTCTTCAAAAACAAAAGTTGTTTCAATTCTCTGGCACAATCTCTTTGGTTTTTTATCTGTGTTTTGTGAGTAGGCTAAACTGGGGGTTTGGTACAGAAAACAATAATAATGAAAATCCACTCCTGTACAAGTGTCTCATCCAGTTATTTCTAATCCTAGCTACGTTTTTCTAAATTTAGATGGTCAAAAGTGTACATGAAAGAGAAGCTATGTAAGGGAAATGTGCACTGAGGGAGAGTGAGCTGAAATGCAATCATATATGTTATTTCAAGTAACGGTGAGTAAGAAGAGACCAGGTATAAAGCTGAATGTGAAATATTAAAACTGGACCTGAATTTTCCTTTAATCTCTGTGTGACTATTGTTCATGAGGTCAGTATCAAAAAAAAAAAAAGTATAGTTTGATAGATTGTGCTGTTTACAGGTTGTCAAACTACTTAGAATCCATCAGACTTAATTTTAGGAGGTTTCTAGGCTTGAGTGAATGACCCTCAGCAAAATGTTGAGAAGCTGGTAGTGGGGACTGTGGGTTTCACAATCATTTCAAGTCCTTGCTGTATTTGTGAAGATCTGTGGGTTTTTTCAGCAGACTGCAGAACCTTCCTCTTAATAGTGTCTGAGGTGGGATATTAGCCTCTCGGTACGAGTACTGAGATATAGTCTAGTGCTTGGGGAGAGGTCATCCCAGTGTACCAGAGTTTCTGCTTGAAGCTTATCCTGAACGTACCATGGCAGCCTGAGGAATAATCCACTCTAGATGATAAAAAACCTCCAATCTTCTTTCATCCCACTTAACTTTCTGTAAATCATGCCAACCTTTACTAAAAGTAGCAAAAGCAAACTATCTCAATATTGTGATAGTGTAGATGATCTAGGAACACTTATTTTCCGAGTTCAGACTTGTACAGAACTTCATTGAGCAATTCGATCTACATACTCCAGGCAGCCCGCCTCAGTTCATTGATACTACAGGAGCAGGACTATGTCATCCATGTAAGTGATGGTCTTCTCGGAAATAAAAGACTCCACCTGTGTTCCGTGAGCTTTACACCTTTATGATTCTTTGCTAAACTACATGGATGCAGAGCCAAAATTCTCCCATGGTGGGAAGCTGATACAAAGCACGTTGTACCAAGTGATTTGTAAGGTTTTAAATACCATGAATCTTGTAGAGAACTGTATGATTGCGTACAATTTTTTAAAAATCAGTTTGCAGAAGGGATGTTTCTAGCTTCTAAGGAAATGTGCTGTGTTCACGTAACTGTAAATGTGCTATATTTGTCTATTTCTTATTTTTCTTTATGATCAATGTAGAGCAAGAGTTTTCATTATTAATCAGAAAGCTTTAAAGGAAGGGCATCATAATCACAATTTCTACAGGAACTGTTACAGTGCCTTCACCAGAAACTGAAAATTAAAATGTTCCAGGTTTTCTTTTATGAAGAACTTAATAAAGAAGATAGTTTTATGCATAGGTGAATTATTACTCTGGCTGTTGCACAAATGTATCATTATTAATTCTGACTGGATTAAGCATTAATAACAAGTAGGATAAGTGTCCCCCAAATCGTATTTATTTCTGTATCTGAGCAGATGCTCTGGCTTAAAGGCTTGGCTTGCTAATGCCATCTTTGTCTTTATAAATTACAGAGAATTAAAGATGGAGTCTGCTGCTACCTGAGTTTGTTTTCTTGATCCAGTAGCAGTAATGTTAAATACTTCAGGAAACCCAAACTATTGCAACAGCTGCTGCAAAGCAGGCTTCACAGATATGTAGGGTCCACTTCCACTGTCTGAGGAAGCTAACATACAAAGCAAAGAAGAAAGCATTTCTTTAAAAAAGTAAATTTTATCCTGATTACTGGGAAATGAGCTGTCATCTTTTTGTAATGTATCTATATTGATTGGGATTCTGAATGTCTGTAGAGGATAAAGTGAACAATCTAATGACTAATTGCTGTTGATAGTCAAGACAAGGACTGTTCCCTGTGAAACATATGCTGATACTCAGTTAATTTCACAAGTGATCACTTCGCTAGCCACTGCTGCAGGTTTTGGCAGTTGGCTGAGCGACAGAAGGTTAGCTGATCAAATATTAACCAGTCTTTTATGGTATAATGCGTTCTCTCTGTATGAAAGTGAATGAGCTGTGTGGGGGTGGTTTGTCTTTGTGGCTGCCGGGGCACACAGCTGCCTCCCAGTGAGCCTGCTGCCCACCAGCACCCCCAGATATGTTCGTATCAAAGGTTTTCTTACCGGTTTTGTGGATAGTTCTCTGAAAATGTTATCTCAATGCTCAGAAAGAGTCAAAAGGGCAATCAATAGGAATTCTTAGGAAAAGAAAAAGATGGAAGAGCTATTTAGTTCATGATGTCTTCAGTTCTACCCTCTGGAGAAGAGTGAAAATTATCAAAGGTGTGAAATAACTTCTATAGAAGAAAGGGTTAAATAGCAACTTCTTCAACTTGGAAAGATAGGAGCAAGAGAGATGATAATAAAGGATTGTAAAATCAGGAATGACATGGAAGGGAATAAATAAGGAATCAGCTACATCTTACAGCAAGAATTAGGGGATACCTGATTAAGTTGTCGGAGAGTAAACAAGTGAAGAGGAGCAGTTTTTCAAACAATGCAGAACTAAATTGTGAGAAATTGAAACTTGTGTTTTTGATATCATAAACATGAATGAGTTTAAAGAAAAATACTATGCAAATTCATAGATAAAAATATCCTCTGAGATTTATTAAGTACAGTGACACAAATACCTTCTTTGTCATATCAAGTCCCAAACTGCTCTTTCCTGGAAGTTGAGAGGAAAGAACTGTTTTCTAATGGTCTTGCCTTTTACTTGCCTTTCGCAAAACATCTGCTACAGGCAAACCCCATCTGTCCATTTTTCTTTTTAACATACTTAAGAATAGGCCTAAAATTTTAAGCAGTGAAGCAATTGCATTTGAAATTATGATCATGTATATAGCCAGCTTGAATTACAGTACAAATTATTACATCACACACTTTATTTACAATATATTCTTGCTTATTCTAGTGTTACAGAAAACAACGCTGTTTAGGCAGGTAAAGGAATCTTCACTGTTACTTTTGCACAATTTCAAAAGCAAGAATAGATCTGCTTTGAATATCCCAATTATATAACTTCTTTTACTTGATTATACACAAAGAATGCACAAGCTGTCCAAAGTTATATTCAAACAATGTCTTATTCGGAACAGTAAGAAGTAAAATATTTCATTTGGTTTTTCATCCTCTATTGGTATGTTTTTCCTGCTTACTATTAATGATGAATTACGGTCGTAGGTAACTACAAGTGTCTCGGGTGTAGCAGGCTTTCACTCCATGCATTGACATCGTTCCGGAGCGCTGTACTAGGAACGTGACGGGAGTTCTCTCAGTCTACCTTTGCCTTCGCTGGTTCCAAATAATCCCTTATCTTCCAGCCCCTGGATCTATGTAAGTACTTTTGAAATTAGGAGCTTTTAAACATCTAGAATCATCAGTATTTGTTTTATGAGAAATATCTGCTTGGTCTTAAACTTGTGCTATCGCATGCTACTTGGAATTTTAAATGTCCTGGCATGAGCTGTCGGTTATATTCTTGAGCAGAGAACTCTTTCCAGCAGTATGGCAGCTGGCTTTCTCTAAACTATGGAAGGAGAAAAATGAAGAGGTACTTCAGACTATTTTGGAAAAAACCCTCAAGAACAGTGAAATACGTGATGCCAACTTTCATTGCCTTCAACTCAATTTCACCTAGGTTCTTTCAGAAGGGCTGCAATATATGTATAAGTTCTCTCTATCCTAACTTGGACTAACAGAGTTTTCATTTCATAGTTTTTGTCTTTTTTTTTTAAAGAACCATTTTATCCAGTGTAATAATTTCTTTTGGGATTTCCCTTCTGATGGGATTTCTATAGATGTAATGCCAGTAATGACAAACTTTGTTGGTACACGGTAGACGGATCTATCTGGAATATTTCCTTGTGCATAATGATTATTCTGATGTATTCAGAACATGACAGAAGTATGCAAGCAAGGGAGAGTAAATGGGGAAAATTCCAAAAGTTTTTGTGCAGTGTTGAAAATCAGGGATTTCACAAGAATGAGTAAAAATACATCCAGCCAAAGAAGAAGTATCAAAAAAGTATGGTTTTGGTGCTGCCTCTAGTCCATGGTATGTTCAGTTGTCTTACTAGTTTTCCTACCCTTTTTTCCCCCCCCATTGATAAATCTGTTAACTGTAAGACTGTAATATGTCAAAGCTACACTTGTGATGTCGTTTCTTTGGAGACTTGCCTAGCTAGCTGCTGGGATAGATTTTGTTGTATCATTGGTTTTGCCACAGTTTGTGTTTCGAACATCAATGTTGGGGTCTTTTATGCCTGAGACAGTGGAGATCTGGTTGGCTTTGCCAAGGTTTTTAATGATGCTGATGTTGTATTTGGCAGTTTCCACAAAGCTGTTTTCTAGTAACCAACCTTCTGATTCACCCTCCAGATCTCCTAGCAGAAGGACATTCTTCATTGCTGTTTGTAGGTACCGGACACCGATGAGTACAGAGAGCTGCAAGAAACAGTTAAACAGAGTTTAAATGACAACCTTAATCCTACCATTAAGTCAGCTTTCTGACTTATTTACAGGCCTAATAATTAATATTGACTAAGGCAGACAAATTCTTTATCTCAGCAATATATCTAATCTCTCTCCCAATTAATTAGATTTAGAAAGAAAAATACCAGGGAGAGATTGATTGATTCTCCCTCCATTCTTCAGGTAGCATTCCCACTTGCATGTTGTCAGCACGTAAATACCTAGATGCACTTGGGATCACTGCAGCCTCGGAGACTACAACTAACTGATGTAGAATGGATGATCAATTAATGGAACCATTGGTCACTGGGAAAAAAAAACCCCAAACTTGTAGTCTACTAATTTTTATGGTTTTGTTTTATTTTTTTGCACTGGCCTTGATTAAATTGTTTGGTTGGTTTGTTGTTTGTTTTTTTTTTTTATCCAAGGAGTTTAATCATCCCTATGTAAGCCATATGTGTCCTACATGCCAATGCATTAAAATTAAGACGGATGGCCTATAGTAGAGGCTCAAGCATAAATTTAGGAAAAAGCTGCACTTTCACAGTTCTGTTGGAATTGCAATCAACCTGCCCCGCTTGTTGATAGGTAAGGGAGCACGGAGAGCTACTTCACAGCTGCTTCATGAGCTGCCAAAGGCCTGTTGTTTCTGGCACCACCTTCTCACCTAATTTCCTTGTGGTTGTGCCACTATGTGTCATCTCGTATCTGATCCCATAAAGGCTTCAGGGAAGGGAATATGCCACAGTCTACTGAAGAAGTCTGTAAATATACAGAACTATATACATCATTTCTAATAGTTCTCATCTTCAGTGAGGTTTGCTTCTGCTCTGGGGCCTTTGAAAAAGTTTTCAGTACTAAAGGAAGTCCAGCTACATTCTTGAAGTGCTTGTGGACTTTACACTACATACCAAGGCACTTTGAGTGTGTTACACTCTGGTTGTTTCCCGTCCTAGAGAGCAGGAAGACTCCAGTTAATCTGACACAGACCATTTTTATGAGACTTACCTCGAACAACCAAATAAGCAATGCTGTAATACCAATGGATCTCATAATAGCTGTGTAGTACTCCAGCAGGGCCTCTCTGCACCCCCTCATCCAGATATTGAGCTCCTCTGTCAGAAAATCATAGGTGTAGTGAGCACTGTTGTTTGTCAGCTGGTACTGGATGCAGGGCCGTGGGGAGCCTGGGTTGCAGCAGCTGAAGGGTACTCCATCCACCAAGAACTTCCCATCGACGTTGCTCTTTAGACGGCTGCAACAGGACAGAAAGTTTGGGCATTACAGATCTGGTAGCAGCAGCAGACAGTGCCTGTGGTTTTTATAGAAGGATGCAACTCAAGTCTGCTGTGATGTAGGCCTCTGCAATGTAACAAAAGGAAAATGGGAATGTATTTCCTACCGGAAAAGTTGCTTACTGCAGGAAAACTAAATTTTTCGTTTGCTGCATTTCTTAAGTGTGGTATCAGCACAGTATCTCACGTGGTTCTTAGCACTGTGCGTGCAAGATGTGGATTTATTGTTTATGGGGATGTTGCCTTTTTAGGTATCTGCACTGACAATAAGTCCAGATATTGTCTTGAGTATCTCAGTGGAACTCTAATGGAAGTTATGGCCCTAGAAATCCCATGATTCATTACTTCTGCATTGATTTTCAACACAAGCATTCCTTAAGAGAGAACCTAATACAACTTTGCACACCACGAGAACCACTGGATATTGTCTTCTGGCATTTCCTCATTGTACCCGTGTGCAATGGCTGGTTTGGCACATGTTTTAAGATTAATTCATAAGTTACTTTTTATAACTTTTGAAACTGTTTGTATTTATTGCTAAAAATTATTCCCTTCCCTCCCTTATAGGATCAGGAGAAAAACAATTGGGAAAAGAAGAAAAAGAAATAGGAGGGAGAAAAAAAGTCATAGGATGGAAAGAGAACACAGTCTCACATTAATCAAATTTCTGGAAGAGTTAAATGAATTCTTGACATCCATTTTCTTTGTATTACCTTCTCTTGAGCTAGTGCATCCTTGTGAAGACTTCTGTTTCTAAGTGGGCTCTTCAGAGAAATAGATTTTCCAGAAACTGGATATTATGTAAGATGTTGAGAGATGCTTTCACACTTTGGGGAAGTAGCCTCTAAGCAAGTATCTATTTTCATTCTCATTGTACAAGTATTATTTCCTGAGACAGCCCCCCAAGTGAGAAGCATGGCCAGTTTTAATGAAGCCCATGCCCTTTAGCATTTGTTAGAAAGCCAGAATACATGAGACAACTTCTTAGATATCCAGCTTTCACCATTTGCTAATAGGACATTTTTTAATATTTTCCAAAACTTATTTATTAACATTTATAAATAATATTTTCTTGTTCCACTACAGATAAGCTAAATTAAAGGGGAAAAAAGATGTCACAAGGAGCTCATCAGGTGAACAGAAGGAGCAGAAACTCTGCAGTCCAGTGTTCTTCAGGCATTTTGGGACTAAATGTGTCCTTCATAAGAAATATAAGCTGCTAGGTAGCTCAGTATTTGTGGCTGTGCTGGAATGGCAGAATAATTGCCTTCATTTTATTGCTGTGGGCCTGATAAAAACAACCTCAATTTTTTATTTTCGGGAGTGGTGGTATGTTTTGTTTCATTTACCATTCTGTCTAAAATATCTTTCTCATTTCCAAGTAAGTCAGGAAGTTCATTTGCCATTTCCCACCTATGAGCAGTTTAGGCATGAATTCCTGTCCATTTTAAAGGCTAGCTCATCACTTTGTCACTATCATATTCCTGGTAACGGCCATAGAATGAATCCGATGGAGAAAAAAACCCAAATAATCCATTGAAACCAGACTTAAGTGTGCAAGCAGTGTAATGGGCATTGGCAAAACAACGCACTGGGAGGGAAACAATGAAGAGAAAAAACAGAGAGGTATCAAATGGAAGGCTCGAATGGGGAAGGAGAAAAGAAACCTCACAGAGGGAGGAGAGGAGGGCCAGCACGTTGTGAAAGGGAAGTTTTCACATGGGCCAGTGTATTGGGTTTGTGTAGCGAGGTTTTGGGACCTGGGAGGGTACAGGGGTGGCTTCTGTCAGAAGCTGCTGGAAGCTTCCCCTGTGTCCGGCAGAGCCAACGCGGCCGGCTCCAGGACAGACCCGTCAGCGGCCGTGGTAGCGCCTCTGGGATAACGTGTTTAAGAAGGGGGAAAAGCTGTTGTGCAACAGCAACTTCAGGCGGAGAGAGGAGCGAGAATATGTGAGAGCAACAACTCTGCAGCCACCAAGGTCAGTGAGTGCTGCAGGCGCGGGAGCAGAGATCCCCCCGCAGCGCGTGGGGCTGAGCCCTGCACCCAGGGCGGTTACAGAGGAGCCGATATCCACCTGCAGGCTGAGGAGGACCCCGCACCAGAGCAGGGGGATGCTCCCAGAGGAGGCTGTGACCCCGTGGGAAGCCTGCCCTGGAGCAGGCTCCCGGTAGGAGCCGTGGTCCCAAGCAGCCCGGGCTGGAGCAGGTTTGCTGGCAGGACTTGCGACCTCAGGTACACACGCTGGAGCAGTTCGTGGAGGACTGTCTCGCGTGGGAAGGACCCACACTGGAGCAGGGGAAGTGTGTGAGGAGTCCTCCCCATGAGGAGGAAGGAGCAGCAGAGACAACAGGTCATGAACTGACCACAACCCCCATTCCCCGTCCCCCTGTGCTGCTGGTGGGAGGAGATGGTAAACAAATCAGGAGTAAAGGTAAGATTTGGGTTTATTTCTTGTTATCCTACTCTGATTTGATTGGTAATAAATTAAGCTAACATCTCTAAGTCAATTTTGTTTTGCCCATGACAGTAAATGCTAAGTGATCTCGCCCCGTCCTTATCTTGACCCACAAGCCTTTTGTTATATTTTCTCTCCCCTGTCCAGCGGAGGAGGGGAGTGACAAAGTGGCTTTGGTGGACACTTGACATCCAGGCAGGGTCAACCCACCACAGCAAGCAAAATGCCCTCTATATTTCAGTGACATGACCAAAATACGGTACAGCATCTAAAATGTAGGTTTTAAGCTTTTCTGTCAATTCCAAGCATCAAGTATTTTTTTTTTCTTCCTGCAACATTATAATGAAGAATCTTTCTACTATCAACAACAGCAGTTTCCAGACTTGGGTTATGTCCCCATGTCATCGTGTTTCCCTTAATAGTGGCAGATTAAAGAATAATGTATCTTGGTACTGTTAGAAGGGAAGACCTCGGTAACAGAGCAGAGGGAGTGAGACACTCACTGCTATTTATTTTTGCAGTTCAAAGTTGTTATGGCATTGTAAAGCAAAAGTTGCTTTTCAGGCTGTAAAAAGATGATTTGTACCCAACCAAAGCAATGGTAGGATTATACTTCTGTAACCTGCCTCATCCTCCTACCGTTCCCATTATTTCTCTCCATTTCTTGGCACATTGTGGTGTTGGCAATGGGGATACAGAAGAGAGGGGAGGAAAGAGGGTTATGAAGGTGAAAAGTTCAGTTTTGCAGAAGTTACATGTGAGTTGACAGTACATCTGTTCTCACCTGCTTTGTTTCTTAATCTACCAGGTACTAACTGACATACAGTACAAGATAAAACAAAAAAACCCAAACTTGGTTTCTTCTCCATCCTTTCTGAACATTACCAGTTAGACTTTGCTTCCAACAATTTCCTATCAAATGTTTCACTACCAGATTTTTGGAAATCATAGTATAATTTAGTTATATGCACCATCTTGGATTCTAGCAATCAAGATGGAATTACACAATTTATGCAGGGTAAAAGAAATTCTGCAATGTGAGCACTTCCTCACACACATTTCACTGCCATATTTTTCCTACACGGGGCAAAAATTGACAGTCTATTTAAAAAATAATGGCAGAGCACAGGTGACCCTACAGAAGAAAACAGTTTCGCTAAGACCCTGGGTAAAACATTATTGTTTCTGCATGTTCTGCACAGAAATAAGGGGCAGTAGATTTTACTTTTGTCCTCACAATAGATACTACTCTTAAGTTCTGTGGACCATCTTTGGTGTCATGTCAGTGTAGAACCAGGATCGAAAACACATCTTGAGTCAGTCTGGTTTGTGTCACTGTTGTTTTCCAACTTCCCTCTTGAGAACACTTGTTCTAAAGCTTGCTTTATGTCGACAGCCAACTGCCTTATGCATGTTGATGTCTTCTTGTCGGGATTCTCCTAGGTCCTGTCCTCCGCTATATTTGCAGCTCTGTATATACGCTTTGCTATGACGGCAGTTTCAAATTGCACATTCTGTGAATGTAAGGTCTTTGGCCTCCCATCCTCTGGCTTTGTTGTCGCTGATTTTTGAGTTCAGCAAAACAGAACACTTGACAAATGCCAGTCAAGCTTTTTGTGTTTGTCTTTCCCAGGAATATATAGCTTCTGTGCTCTCATCAGTGAAGACTTTTTTTTTTCAGCTTTAGAAAAATTATTACATATTGGATTGTCTACTTTAAAAATTTGTTTATTGTTACCTTTTCTATTGTCTGTAAGAATTACCAGACTCTTCTTTTTGACCGTATAATTTCACAATTGCTACATCATGTGAAGCATCACCACCACTAAAAATTTTGAGGGTTATTCTCCATTTTTATGCAGAGTACACAGTGTTGGCAGTTTCTCACATGTGAACATATGGATTTGAACCTGGGCTTGCAAAGTCTAATACCTTGAAGGAGAAGGGTCTGTCAGTGTTTAGGACTGATTGTGCAATGTATTGATAGTGCAGTCCTTTTTTTCTTTCCCTTATCAGCTCACTATAATTGAAATTTTGAGGTAGTTAATTCACCATGTTAAAAAAGGAAAGATACATCTTTGCTTTGCTTAGTGTCCCTAAAAATTTAGCAAAAGGCAACTTTTGAATGTGCAGGTAGTTAGCATCTTTTGTGAGTAATGTGGTCATTCTACAGTTCTTTGACTAAGAGACAAAGGTCCAGTAAAAACTAGTATCTACTTTGCCTTCTGCGATTAATTTTTTTCCTAGAATATTTTGTTATGACTAGTAAATACTTACTCCAGCACTTCCTCGGAAGCCATATTCAGATAACGAGTAGATATCCACTGAATTTCAAACCAGTCTCTAAAGCCGTTGTTTCCACAGCACTGGAATCCAATTTGTAACATATCCACTGTTTTCTTTAAGAAACATCGTCCAGGTATGTCTGTGTCCTTATAGAACTTAATAGCATCCCTCAGTCCCAGATAGAGAGACTCTTCCAGCTCGTTCCTCATGGTATAGCACAAGAGAGCACCCACCAGGATGCAGAAGGTAAAACAGAAGGTACATACGATGTAGGGGAGCATAACTAGTTTCCATCGAGAGAACTTGTTGGCATCTGAGCAGTCATAGCAGATTTTGCCACCCAGAAAGTTGATGATACAAGCTATGACCCCTACAGAGATCAGCATGTTGGGGACAGAGTTAATGTCCCCTTTTGCCATCACTTCATTGCGCTTCTTGATCTCTATTTTCAGAAAGAGGCCAAGACTGAAGAGAATGACCCCGCTTACTACCGAAACCCAGTTGAGGATCCATAAGATCTGAGCCAATTTGTCCCTTTTAGTTTTGGTGAATTTTACTTTGAGGACAGCCATAGTCAGATCAGTGTTAGGAAAAGAAGCACAGGTCAAGGAAAGCTCGTAAGCTGATTAGAAGCATGTATCCAAGGCATGCAGTAGAAATCTGGAGAGGAGAGAGAGAGAGAGAGAGAGATTACTGTCTGTTTGACTAAGTATTTATAGAGACTACAGAAAACTCAGCCTCACGCAATTTGAGTCCTGCCAAGGGAGTGCCCCAGTGACATTTATTGCTTATATTTCATACAATGTGAATTACTTAAAAAAAAAAATTTAATTCTAAGTACTGACTAGAGCATTAAAACCAAGCAAACAGTAAACCCAATGAACTCTGGGTTTCTATGGACTTTTGTCAAGAGCAATTTTCTGTGTAGATTTTCTGATGTCTGGAAGTGAGCTGATCTGCTGTCTTTCCTTCCAGAAGACTCATGGTGCCTTTTCCTTCTTGTTGCCTGTAATTTCGTGATCATTCTAGGAATTTATAATACTTAGATTATTGTGTCATGGTCAGATTTGCATTCAAAGGTTGACCAAGCGGGACAAACAAGCCGATATATACAGCATAGTTACGTAAGCCTTTTTTTCCATATGGAAAAGCCCCATGAAAATAGCACCAGAAACAGTATGCTATGGGTGTCTTTAGTAATTTCATTAATTATGTGCAGTAAAATATGATTTTGCTAGCAAAAAGCAGTTTTATTCCTACGCTTATACTAAGATATGATCACGTTGGCAAAAACTGCAGGGGGAACTGACTGTGGTTATCCACAGACACAAAACGTTCAACAAATAGTTAAACTATCAATGACTGTCAGTTTTCTAGAAAATAACATCAAAATTTTATTAACTTTCAAGTGCTATGACCTGAATATATTACTGGTGAACAAACCATCCTCCACCACATATTTCCACTTGATCTGGCACAAAAGCACTATCATTTTTGTGAAGTATCATATCACCCTACACAAAAAAGCAGAACATCTTCACGCCTTAAAAAAACCCCAGCAGTTTAAAATGCTCTATTTCTTTCTCTACCTGACTGCCCTTCCTTTCTTTCTGAAAGTTCTTATTAAAAACCAGTTTTGGGAATACCATGATGTATTAAGTGAGGCCTATTTAATCCTTAGGGAATCATCACTAAGCCTAACCTCTGTTCCTGCACCTAAAGTTCCTTGCTCTTTCCCTTTGTCCTGAGAACTGTAACAATTACACCTTATTCCAATCCTCCTGCCACCTGTAGACTGGTTTTCTTTCCGAGTCCTCCATATCCCAGTCAATCCTGAACTTCATTCCTGGTTTGCACTTTCTGCAATAACTTTGACTTATTCATTGCCCATTGGAACTGCTTCCATTCTCCCATGTGAAGAAGGCTCTGCAGCCCAAGGGACAGCACAATATTTTTGTGAAGGGGAACCATTTGAAAAATGTCAGGAAAATACTCATGTGTCTAATAATTTATATCTTGTATATTTTATGAGCTTGTTTTTTATACACCTGTTCTTACATTATTAACAGTCCTTTAATAACTTCCCTGTGTGATCTACAAACGCTTACATTTCTCTTTGAAGGTCACAATGATGGGCATAGAATATATTCAGAGAGACTCTTCCCTGCCCTGAGTTTCAAATGTGATATTTCACAGCTGAAGGAGGACTTCTGTGTTTCAAGGTCTGTCTTCTTTTCCCCAGCTATTAGTGGATCTAAGAAAAGATCCCATCCTCCCCAGCACTTTTAACCTTGCATCTCTGCAACACTACTAATAACTTCTCCTTTGCACCTCTCCGGTTATATCACAGGCAGAAAGCAGCTAATAACATCCAAGCTCTAAAAGCTGTTGGAGCTGGAGACAATGTGTTTTTGGTGTTTATGATGTGGATGTAGAACTATGCCGCAGTACTTCAGGATCAAACCATGAACCTTCATCCTCCTTCAGTGCTTCCAATACTTTGTGGCTGCCTTTCCTCCACACGTGCAAGATATAGGGAGTTGTTTCTTTCTTTCCTCACCAGAAAGTCTGCTCTCAGCATGGTCTTGTACAAATTCAGTAATTTTCATTAAAGTGACTTTATACTGTACAACTATGTATTTATATGATTATACAGTCATCTAATTCCACTAATACAGTGGCATTTATAAACAGTAAAACATAGCCCTATAAATTTGGGGAAATAGAGAAGCATAAGCAGCATTATTCTTGTATAATATTTTTAAGCTAGTGGACTCTTACTACTTAACTTCATCTGAATAAAACTGGTATCAGCTAAAACAGCATGAAAACTACTTGCAGACCGGCTGTACAGAAGTAGGGCTACACCTATCCACTAAAGGATCCACAGCTGCAGTGAAGCATAGCATTGGGTAAGCAGATTGTTGCATGGTTTAAAAACATAATGGTATCCCAGAGTCTTCATCTGTATATGTTGGAAAGAATCAATTCTGTTTGTACAGGTGAGGAATAGGGGGTTCCATTCATATGAGGATATGGTAAGATATCTTCATGCATTTGAGTATTAAAACATTTTAATGCCTGTGAGATCTAATTAATTCACGTTGCATTTATTTTCATTTACAGAAGACAGTAATTCCTCTCAAAACTATTCATGTTTCTTTATCTCTTGTACAATACATAAAATAGTGTGCAAAACGCACAGTATTTTTCCTAACTGGTCTTATTTCTAAAGGTGTTGAGTCCAGCAGCTCTCTGACTTTAAAAACAGGGTCCTAATTTTAATGATTGTTAAGGCTGATTATCGGCTATGGTTGAATATTGATTGTGATCATGTTGTGATAATCATATTGATTATCATGGTGAAATACTGATTACCGATATACGCCTCTGTACAAACAAGTCCAGAGAACAATCATTTATAAAATGACACCACTTTCTTCACACCATTCTTCTAGGGTATCCTTCAGACCTCATTTAAAAGGATCATCTTCTGATGGCACAGAATTAAGCCTTCATATGAATTCAGCCGACAGCCTGTCTGCTAAACCCGGAGACAGTATCTTTGATTGCTTCACCAGTTAAGCAGTTCATGACTTGAACTTAAATAGCTCTAAATGGCTGCTGCAAATAGGTTTATTTGACCCTGATACTCAGGTCTCAGAGCTCACAAGAGAGAGAATCTGTTGTGAAATTTCCTAGCTGCTGATATGCAGTTCACGTTCAAGAGCCAGCATATTTAAGTACATCACTCACTGTTCATTTCTATGAAACGCATGTATGTACTTGCAAAATGCCTCCGAATTGTTAGGCACACACATAGTTACAGTGTCACTGAGAACACCCTACCTGCCAAACATCTTTTGCTCTACCCTTTAAACAAAAGCTGTAAACAGTTCTACCCTTACTTAAAATCCATCTACTCAAGAGACATTGCTGATTTTGGAAGATGTAAATTTGAGACCTTCTGTCATATTCTAGCCATAAAGAAATTTGAAGCTGAATTCCATAAGCAGGGATACTTTCAATCTCGTGTAGCTATTCTGATCTAGCTCCCTCCCCCTTTTTCAGATGCCTAAATTTTAAAAAATTAAATATTTATGTGCAAAAGCAACACTTCTCGTAAGTCCTTGCCTCCGGTAATTCTCATATGGTATTTCCAGCCTCCTTGGTGCAATTTTGGTATTGTTATAAGGTCAGATTTCATGGAATATTCACGCTCATCTCACAGAGGTACCCACACCACAGTCCTCCAGCAGTATAAGATCTTCTATTTTGTATGAGCCACACTGCCAGAGGAAAGGGGGGAATGACTGGTTGTTGTACTGCAGTGACCACTTGTCAAGTGACTCTGGCTGCCACTGATACACCTGGGATTGCTCAAAGCATCTTTGGGACAACGGTGCTTCTTCTGAAACTGAGTGCATTGAGTCTGGGACAGAACAACTTACCTACTCTGTTCCTGTGTTCCCACCTTCTACATGGACATTTCTCTTGAGACGAGTTTTTCCTATGCTAACAGTTTACTGAATTTATTTTAGATAATGAGAAGACTCTCTTCCCATCGTAATGAATTTTGTAAATACACCATAACATTGTTTTTTCCCCAACTGTTCAATGAAATATTGAATGTATTTATTAACATGATGTACTGCAACATCCATACTGCCATGTAGTAGCATTTTTTGAGCGCCATGGAGAAAGTTCTTCCAGCTAAAAGAACTGAAGCACAATTATGAGCTAAAAGTGTCATTGTCTTGCTCTGCAGTATGTATCTTCTGCAAGTGATATTTGGCAGTGGGCTACTGTAAAACCACAGATGCTCCTAGCAGTAGTAACACCTCTGTCAGTTCTCAGAAACACACCTTAACCATACATGAGCCACTCCAGCATTATGAAGCTATACACACGGACATTTTTTCCCCAGCTCTGGGAGAGCAAGCTGGATTTTATTCTTAAAAGGGAATAATAATAAAGGGATAAAGGGAAAAATATTTATTTCAACAGAAACAGCCCAATAAATGTGGAAATCTCTCCCATATTATTGATACTGGTCTCAAGCTTTCCTTGTCTCACTTCAAACAGAGCTTCTATCAGCATATGGTAGCTTTTTGCTTCCAAGATGCCACCTACCTGTTCTTTTGCTATCAAATTCCTCTAAATACATAGAACAAGACATAGCACAGCTATTTATTTATTTATAACATTTACTTATTAGATGCAAACTGTCCAAAGAAATTTGACTTGAAGTTTTGTCACAAGCAAACCACATCTTATCTTACCCATTTCATTAAAATCTGCCATTTTAGCTAAACACACATTCTTACCTGTGACATCATAAAAGAAACCACTAACCTGCTTCAGAGGACTGAACAGGATCTCAAAACTGGTAACTTGCTGAATACAGGAGAGAAGATACCTGGATCAGGTATCCCAAGGAAGACTGAAGTACTGATTTCCTGATGTCTGCATAGCTCTTCTATCTTTACACTGACTCACCAATGGAGATGGAGAAAAAGACTTCAGCTCTCCCGCCTGTGTTAATCTCTCATCTCTAATCGTAGCTAAGAGATTTATTACAAGGTTCTTATGCCACCAAGTTAAATCCTGCAAAACAGGCCAATTAACTGAGTGTGAACTGAGATCTCACCAACAAAATGGATTTGTAGTAACTTCTTTTACCTTTTTACCCCCCTGAGGTTTGGGCTAGTAACTAACAGAAACTGTTCTTCAGTACCTGCTAATGTCTTCATTAGTTCTGAATTTTTACCTGACAATAAATATGGGGCCAAGAGAGAGAAGAATGAGAACAATACAACTTTGTGCTTCTGTGGAAAGGGATTTGTCAGAAACAGATTTGTCTTAGGCAATCCTCATTTACATTCACTACTATGTGCTTTACCTATCATCCCGTATTTTGTTGCTTTGGGTGGCATTGTCTGTCCTCTGTGTATGAGCTGTGATACACTTGGATCAGCGTGTCCAAGGAAGGAATTCAAGTAACCAAGAGCAATTGGATCATCCTGTATGAGTCACAGTAGATTCTGGTTTGGGAAGCTTTCCAGGTTCAAGAACAATCTAGCAGTAGACTCTTAAAAGCTTTATCCTAAGCCAGAAGCAAAAGCATCTTGTCCTTTTGCATTTCTGAGCCCAGCATGTTGCAGTTTGTGGGATGGACATAGCTGGGTTGAACTGGCAACAGCAGTGGCAACAAGCTGAGCCTGCAGCAACGCTTGACCAAGTTAGCGGTGATGTTAGTACCAGAACTGAATCGCTAAGCAGGACCAAGTGTGGTCTACCAGGTCCATAATACATCAGCACAGCAGAGAGAGTTCAGTGAGCACACATGACTGACTGCAAGGGACCTTGCAGCAGGGATTGTAATGCATATGAATATTCTTGGAAGCATAAACTGTCCTCTCCCAGCTAATGATGAGCAATAAACCGATACCATGATATTACTGTGATTCTATCTCTGTGCTCTGGGAATACTCCTGCTTATCTCATTTATGGTCTCATGCTTTTGTAAAGATAGACACCCCTCTGCATGCATCAGTATCAGGGAAAGGTAAAAGATTAATTATCAGTGCAACTCAGTCTATCAAAGTCTTGAATAAAGCAGAGACTGGAATACCTAACTACAATATTCTGGGAAGAAAAAACAATTAAGACTTGTTCACTTGCCAGAAGTCATTTCATACGTTGCTGCAAGAAGAGGGAAGCTCCTAACTGCAGGTGTCACTCTGTGCCTCCACAGGGTGAAAAACCCCAAGGACGTGTCCCAGCAGTATAAAGTCATACAGTGAAATTCTCCCCCTTTACAGTTTTTCTGATACAATCAAACTCATAACTAATGTTTATGCTGAAAGCTCCATCCAACAATGCATCGTCTAGTACCACATGGCCAGCTTATACAGAGCTGTTTCCTTGATGTGTGTGTGTGGGTCCCTGGGGCCATACAGGCTCAGTCTGCCTTTGCTGGCAACTTCACTTCAGAAAATATAATTTACCATGCCTTCACCCTTTAAAGAAAATATCCTAAAGTAGGGCTTACAGCTTTCTATCTTGCCTATGTGTTCATGTATAGCACATCCAGGAAACTTCAGATCAAGAGCATATGTGTTACATCTGGGACCTGTTGGACCTACAACCTATGGGCCACACAAATGTTGGCATATGATCAAATATACTGCAACTGCAGTGACTTAGTCCTGTGCCCATGGATCATTCACGCTTTGGACTTGCTGTACTCGTACAGACCCCAAGAAATATGTTAGATCTGTTCAAATGTGTACATCTGTGTACAGATCAACACTACTATATTCAACAGGTAGAGTATATTCCTTGTGGACAGCAAAAGAACACAAATGTACACATTTACCTGGGATTTTTGAGCTATTGCTCCAGCTGGGATGTGACATATTAGAAATCCTAGACAAACTTCTGAAGTCCTTTACTATGCCCAGAAAAAGTTAATGTGTGAAAATGCCCCACATCTGTGGAGCTCCAGACATATGTTATCCCTAAGTATTAGAAAATGTTATCGCTTCAGATACCTACTAATAGAAAAATGTACCTTCCTTGTTGTTGCTTTGCAATATAAACCTAGTACTTGCATGCACAAAAGAAAGCAAGCAGAAGGTGGCAGTGCTGCTGTATGTAGTTTTTTTCTGCAACGCAAAGTAAGAAGCTTGCTTTTGTGTTAAGAGAGATTAGAGGTCACTCACACAGCTAGTGGAAGATCAGGAATGCATCATTGTAAGAAATAATTTTAATCCAATCTTAATTCAATTAGAGGTTAATGATACCTGTATTATTTGTTCCATCTTATATTGGGAAATGGTTTTGGCTTCAAAGTTAATATTAAAAGAATTATTCAGAAATTAGTTTTGTTTTATGCCAATCTATAACTAACCGTGATGCACTTACAGACCTGCTGGGAAGCCTGGACACCCAGACCATAACGATAGAGTAGCATTTTGTAACTCATCAGGAGTAGTCATACATGTGGGTCTGCCATCTAGATATCACCCACTGGCATAGAAAGAAAACACACACTTTCCTGTTAGCAGTGGAGACTGCTGTGCTGCAGCTTTGGATCTGAAAGAAATAAATTTAATAAATGTTTGGCCAATCACCTGTTTGTTTAGTACCATTCATATATAAGTCCACAAGCAAGGACAGATGTGTTATGAATGAGCCTCATTAAATAGTTGGGATGACACATCCTGCGAAATTTCATTTCACATCTAGTTTCCAAAAGTTGTTTTATTTTTATATTTTGATGGCTTTCCATTTCATCTTGTATTTAATGTAAATGATAACTAATGATAAGAGATTTTGGAGTAATGGGACTAAAAGTGGAGGCACTCAGTAAGTCTGACACAAGCAGGTACCTTACGACTTTAACATGTCAGTGCTTCAGAGGGAGAGTCCATATTCAAGAAGAGATTCTCACTGATATTGTTAATGGGGAGAGGGTATGAAAAAGGGAATTCAGACCATCTGCTTTTTTTGTCAAGTTGTGAACCACGGGGCAGACACCGAGAGGCATAAGTTATTAGGCAAATAGAAGCAATTGGGTCTTTGCAGAATATTCATATCTCAAATACGTGTTTGAACTTTTAGGAAGGAAGTATAGAGGTATGTAGGTGATTTGGGTTGTTTTAGTTAGATAAAGATACCTAAGTTAAAGCTCAACATTTGAAATTCTTATGAAATTGCAGTTGGCAGAGGGAATGTCAAAACTCAAAGGCAAGAGGTAATGGCGAGAGACAGTAATTTAAAAGAACCCATCTTGTAAATCAGAATGCCAAAAATCTTATTGCAAACTAAGTCAATTATGTGTTTTTACAACTACAGTTGTACCAGAAGGCCCGCTGTACTATGTTCCATGCAAAATTACTGTAACTGTAGCTCATTTAATTGCTGAAGAACAGAGCAAATTCAATGAATCAGAAAAAGAAGTATTATAATTTTCATTTTTCTGATGTTTAAAGGTTATAACAACATGGATACTGGATCCAGCCTCAGGCAAAAAGGAAAGTATAGCAGACTTGCATGAACTGCATTGCACATGTACTGCTAGTCTTCAGGGCTCCTGTATATTCGGGAAACACCATGCAGGTCCCAAGCAAGTTGGCTCTGATTTCAATCCATAGGATCTGTACTGTCCATAACCGCTGAGTCATCCACTCCTGACTCATGGTGAGTCATTACAAATGGAAAACTAAGGCACAGAAATAGTGTATTCACCTTAAAACCAGACCAGCAGTCTATGGTAAAGTTGGAAAGCGAACCTATATTTCAAATTGGTTGATAACCCAAAACCTTCATCTTGGCTCTAACTTTTTTCTGATTACCAGAATCCATCTTTATGACCTTATTCATGATTAGACCATGCAGCAATCTTGTTTTTCACCTTTGTACCTTATTCACTATGGACTGTACCATCACAAGCCAGTCATCAGGAAGCTTTTTGTAGAAATGAATTATACACATATTATGAGGGCTCCCAACAAAATTACTCTTACATAACGAGGTAAAATTTCCTTTTTCTGTTCCATACCTCTGATACAGAGAAATGATTACTTGTTTTGAGATTTATTTACTTATTTACTTACAGAAAACTGCTTAGCAACTTATTTACTTATTTATAGCAAGATACAGTAATTTTAAAATATTGCTAAGAATCCTGCTTGCCCAGAGTGTTCTGTGGAATTTTACCAAGGACTACTGTGTTTATCAAAACAAAGCAGTTCACTGTGAAAATCTACCAAGGATTACAATATTCAGCAAAATAGTATGCTTTTGTCCTTAAGTAACAGGTGGCTCTAACTAGTTGGAATTTTGCTAATGAGTAAAGATAGCCATGGACGAATGGTAGAAGTTCTATTGGTTCTCTTAGATAAGATAGAAAAATAAATCAACTGGAAAACACTTGTTATTCAAGAAATTGGCCAAGAGAATCTGTGCATGCTCCATGGAAAAAATAGGGTGAGAAAGACTACGAGCCTTCCTCCCAAAGACCCCCGAAGACGACCACCAGGAGGCAATGCGCAGGTGCAAAGAGAACATAAACTGCTGACACCATGCTTTCTGACTAACCCAGCCCTACTCATGCATATGTATGTTTGTGTTATGTAACCCAATGAATATGGATAGCCACACTCTTATCAGTTTTGGTAAAATGTGCGGTGGGTGTGCAAGCTTTGTGGAGAAATCCCCTTGCACCCCGGCTGGAGTAAACATACCTGCTTTATAACTCTATTCGAGTTGTAGAGTCTTTTTTCTGCAGATCACCTCATAGCATCAATACTTTGGTTCACTATACTGCCAATTGATCCTTCTTCCCCTAGCAAAGTAGTCAGATATACACTCTCACATTTCTCCTCCAAGAGACCTCCTACACCAATCAGGAAGTCTCCCCATTCTCACCTTGTTAGAAACCTGATGTTGGTGATGTTTTTCAATCTCTAGACACCATCTGAATGGAACAGTGTTACTCAGGACATCCTGTAGTGAATCTGGGACTCTTTTAGAAAGAAAAGAGACCGTTAC